CAAATTCCAGCTGCTCCATAATATTCTATTCCCTTTTCTGCAACAAGTCAGTCCACGTTGCTCATTAAACAGTTAAATCCCCACTGACCTGTTTTTCTGTCCATTAATACACAGCTGCCTTAATCCAACCACAATGGCATTTGTTAGTTGAATTTTTCAATTCTTCTTTTATGGACATTTCAAAATACTGATCACTGTGAGGTAATAATATAATTTGCTATTTATTTATTTATTTATTTATTTATTTGATTTATTTGATTTGTCAATCTCTTACAAGATAATAGGTATAAGTATAAACATAGTTATGAATACATGAAATGGATACATATAAAAAAATAAAAAGAAACAATAGGACAGGGACAGTAGGCATATATATATCCATTCCCTTCCACTTCCTTTCCAATTGGCTGGATTATTCTCTTCTCAGTGTCTCTCAATTTTTTATGCCATTTAATTATTGGGGAGTATTTACAGCTCCTTCTTTTTTTTCCCTTGAAGATTTTTTTAATCTTGTCTTTAATCTTAATCTTTAATCTTAATGTTTTCTTGAGCTTTGCCAATAGCTCTTCTTTAGGTGCAGTTGGTATTATTCTGGCTATTGAAGCACCAACACCATAACCACTGAATTGGCATTGGCGGGGGCAAGTTACATTGTATTGTAACATGGACTGCCTTATTTCTTACTCCAAATTAATAAATCAGAAGAAAATGTGTTCTGTTATCATGTTTGTAGACCCAGGAACAACCTTTAAAGAAAAGGAGCTTGTGAACCCTAATCAGTATAATAGTCTTTCACAAATGGGACTGCCGAAGATACTTGCACTTAACCAAAGGATGATCGTGTGCTGGCAACATCTTTTTCTCTACTGTATAACCCTAACATTGCATCCATCTCATCCTCAGCTCATGAGGAACACAAGCCTTAAGTTGTCTGCAGGCATGTCTATATTACAATTGAATTTCTTCCCTTTTTTCAAGGCTGTCTGAAAACTGCCTCAAGGTACATAAAATCTGTTGGGATTTGACAGGTATTACCTTGAAGGGATGCCAGGTGATTGTAATGCCTTGAAACCAATTCGACAGAGCCAGGGACAGCTATGGCAATGGGAACAGCGATCATTTGCCTCTGGGATGGGTGTGTGGAGCTTTCTGAGCAATGGGGAAAGGTTTATAGGTAAAGCACCATCAAAAACATTTTTATACATATTTTATTTTCAGGCAGGGCCATCTAGCTGTCTGTTTCAGTGCAACATTTTTCCAGTCAGCAAGGAAGAAGTCAGAGAAGTGATGCTATTTTTTTCCCCTCATTATGTTGCTAAATGCCACCTGTAAGCATGTAGCTTCTAATTAGAGAAGTCTCTAGAGAATTCATTGGCTTCTTTCTTTAATGGAATAGCACTATTAATATGTCAATATCCAGATGATATATGTAATGGGCCATATTGAAATCAATCAATAGGCATTCTTTCATTTCCACAAACCCCCTGCTTAATAGAGGGAAATGCTATTGCCCTAGTCTACAAATGTCATCATTATTTTGCTTTTCATCCCACTTATGGCTTGGGAATGAGCCCATTAATATTCTATTTGCTTTCACTTGTCTCAGCTATGGGCTATCTGTATGTATGATAGACACACAGTATGTTTGCCAATTTCTTTCTAAGAACAGATACTGGAGCCATTTTATAAAAAAAGAAATCTTTCATATATTTATTACAGCTATGCAAAATCATTCAAAGGGGTGTTTGACAAAGTGCCACCCAGAATCTTTTGGAGTGGGTAGTTATAATATATTTAATAAACTAAATAAAGTGAGCAAAGCCTTCTCCAAAATCACTGTTTGAGTTGTTAAAGTGTCTTATCCTCTCAAGGGCTTCTCATGGCTATTTTGCTTTGATGGACTTGTTGTCTGTATGATCATTCAGTGATCTTGGGAGGCACTCAAAGTGATTAAGTGCCAAGCCTTTGAAAAGATGTGTCACTAATACTCAAGCTTTGTAGCCATTTGGGCTGTTCAGAGCTCTGTCACTGTTTTGAGTTTAGTTTCCTTGGAGTCTTTCTTCTATTTTTGTAGCTTTTACTTTTCTTGTTTCTTTAATAATTAATTCATTTGCTATTATTCACATCGACTAGAAAAACAACCAACTCTCTCATAAACAATTTGGTTTCAGAAAAAAACTATCCTGTAATCTGCAACTCTTACACTGCAAAAACATATGGACTACACAACTCGATCAGGACAAAGCAATAGATGCAATCTACATAGACTTCTGTAAAGCCTTTGATTCAGTGGTACACGACAAACTACTCCTAAAACTAAAATCTTATGGTATCTCTGGACACCTGCATAACTGGATAGAAGCATTCCTGTCAAACAGACAACAAATGGTCAAAATTGGGAGTGTCCTATCAAATTCTGTACCTGTCAACAGTGGTGTCCCCCTGTTGCAGCAGATCCTGTTTCCAAATCAGGACACAAGACCACGAAAGGTTGGAGAATACAGGTTTTTATTTGTGCACAAAGGTTCAGAGCATTAGCATGGCAAATTCTGAACCCCTGGCTCTTCCTGAGGCGTCACTTTTATACATTTCATAACCTCAGCCTAGCCCGGGACGTTTCTTATGTTAAACTATACCAAAAAGGAGAAGTACATATCTGTTATTTTCCAGACCCATCCTTATTCACTGAAACATGCTTACTTCCAGTTCCTTAGTTCAGCAATTTCGTGGTTTTGCACAATATGTCTAAAAGAAGCAAGGTAAGGGGTCAGAGGATTTCTGGTAAATGCATATTTTGTTTTTGACCTTCCAAGTTGCTTCATTCCCCCCTTTGAAACTCCACCTAAATCAGGGTCGTCTGGGTCGTCTTGATTACTGTGGAGTTTCACACATGGGGACAAGGTCTTTACAAGTTTTCAATTCCTCATATTCCCATAATGCCATAGCCCGAGCAGTAGCCGTCCTCCCTACTAACATAGAAAGACTGTTGGAGATTGTTCTGACAAAGATTAATGCTGTCGCAAAAGTAGGCAATTACAAATCCTTCTCAGATGAGTCGAAGTTGGAAAAACGAACTTTCTTTAAACAATACAATTTATAGTTTGTTCCCCTTGCGAAACATATTTGCGGTTTAGGTATTCTATCGAGACAGGGAAGTTTAACCAAACTGAACAAGAAACTCTTCGCTAGGCAGCTGAGGAAGAAACACGTTGTGGTTTCTTCAACTCAGATAAGCACTTTAAACATAGCAGCTTTTAAAATTCGGGACCCCTCTAGGTCATCTAGTCCAACCCCCTTTTTGATACATAAAATCCTTCAAAAGAATATCTCTTTCCACCACACACCCTATCCCTAACACATTAACATCTGTTTTACTTGTTCTTATTTTCAGCCGTACGTAGAGGGTCAGCTTCTGGAGTGACACCAGTAAGGCCTCTTCTGCCCCGTATGTTGCCTGCCCATTGCCGGTAGGGCAGTTATAGGGGGCGCTTCTTCAAGCGTACCACCCATTAGACTCACCCATGAATCCCCTAATTGACTTAAATCCCCTATATAATTTCTCAAACTAGTACTTATGACGGGGGTCTTCCAAACATCATTTCAAAAAGGAGATAACCTAATTCCTTTTATTACTTTTGATTCTTTAAACTTTGATAGTACGATATCTCTTAGAAAGGGAATCAAACAGGAAAGAAACATTAGAACCCAGAATCCTAACACAGCAGACTTTGTTTAACCCTTCACCAACCCAATTTGCTACGCTCCAAAAATTTTATTAGGGCTAGCTGGTTTTGCACAATGGTATTTTCCACACTTTTCTTTCGCTAAGTTCCCAAGACTGCAGTCATCTCCGTTAAGTTTGTCGTCAAATTGAATTGTATGTCCATTAGCTCCCAGAGTGCCATCCCCCACCTACGTGTAGGCCCTCTTAGAGTTTCAAGCATGCAGGGGCATCACTGGTATCTAGGGATTCAAGGGCTCTTTGCTTTCCAAACCTGAATTCATTCCTTCAATAGGCATTCCCCATGTTGCTTCACGAATCTCATTACACAGGGTCCAACCCACCCAGTGGGGAGGCTAGTATAGGCATATTTTTCACATTCCCTATACATAACTTCTGGGGTAATCCAGTTGCTGTTATTTGCTGCACGATTCTTACAACAACACACTAGTCACATTCATTTTCTATTAGAACTCCACTCAGTCCAGTCCCATTGGGCAAAACACAATAGCCACCCACAATCCAAATTTGTTGGATTCCATTAATCTCCCATATTTGATTCCACACACACATACGCAAAACACACAAATGTCTTGTTGAAGCTATTTTAGACAATTTCTTCCTCCCTTCTTCCTGTTGCATGGTGTTAAGGTTCTATCGACACCTAGCTGACTTGCAATAAGTTATACTTATATATCTGCAAAAAATGCTTTCTCCTGTAATAAGTTGCATAATAAATAAGCTTATATGTCTACTAGTTATATTTTAAGCTCAGCATTTTTCCTAAATGCTTATCTTTTGCCTTACAAATTAATATTCCGCTCCCAACTCTGGCTATCGATGTTTGAGTTAGCCTTTCCCATTTAGTAGGGGCTAGTTGCAATCACACCATTGGTCATGGTTTTGGTCGTGTTGCTTTTTCAAAGTTCCTAAATTGTTCACGTGTTCTTAGGCCACTTTGGTCCCATTAAAAGTTTCTCTTCTTCCCCTCTATTGAAAGTCCTCACATGTAATTTCCCAACCTCCACCATCCAAACATTCAGTATGTACACCAGTCTCAAGACAGTTATAAGATCAGGTGAATTTAGCAGTGGGATTTGTTCTGTGGTTGTTATTTTATGTTGGGGAAATACAGCGGCAACTACTCAGTCCTAAATAGAAAAGGAATGTACAGTTTGTTCCTTCCAGGATTTTATCAAAAACCACCGTCCTGCCTTAAATTTGTGTACAACAAAGTCCAAGGTGGTGTTTGTGCAAGGACCCCTTTCTGTCTTAAAAGAGAGACTGGGACAATTCAAGAATATATGTTCTCACAATTTTGTCTGTTAACTCAGTTCTAGGCAAACCCTCCTTCCCACAGTATGGGATCCCCAACAACATCCCATCCCTCCTTCCACTACTTTGGCAGTTCCATCTATAAAGTAGTGCTACACAATCATGTTGGTCCCCTTCACTCATTTCCCCTCTCATCAAGAATTGAGCAAGGTTCACATGATTGCTTATGGAGAGGACCAAATTAGTGTCTTCTATGAGGATTCCCTCATACTTTAGGATACAAGAATTGGTTAACCATCTCCGAGCTCATCGAGGCAGGATGTTCCTGATCTTATGTTGGGTTGTAACCACCAAAACCCTCTCCCCAAATGTGTGTTTTCTTCTTTCTTGTACTAAGAGAGCTGTGGCGGCAATAGCCTGAACACATACCGGCCACCCCCGTAGTACAGGGTCCATCCTCATTACAGAGACCTCCCCATTTTTGAGCTAAGAACCCTTTTTTGTTATTCCATCACAGTCTGTTACAAATAAGCGGAAAGGACCAACTCTCTTCATACTCTACATAAATGACCTCTGTGATCATATTAAGAGCAACTGCGTTCTCTTTGCTGATGGTGTAAAGCTGTTCAACACCACAGACAATACTGCTACCCTTCAAAAAGACCTCGACTATGTATCAGAATGGTCAAACAAATGGCAACTTCAAATCTCAACAAATAAATGCTCTGTTTTACATATTGGCAAAAAAAATCAGAAAATAAAATACAAGCTGAATAGTCAAGACCTTGTTGATGATCCAAGATCTGTAAAGGACCTTGGAATACCCATCTCTAATGATCTAAGTGCTAGAGCCCACTGTAACTACATAGCCAAAAAGGCATTAAGAGTTGTTAACCTAATCCTATGTAGCTTTTTCTCTGGTAATATCACACTACTAACTAGAGCATACAAAACATTTCCTAGACCAATACTCGAATAAAGCTCATTAGTCTGGAACCCACATTATGTATCTGATATTAACACAGTTGAGAAAGTCCAGAAATATTTCACAAGAAGAGTTCTCCACTCCTCTACTTGTTGCAGAATACCTTATGCCACCAGACTTGAAATTTTAGACCTAGAAAACGTAGAGCTATGCCGCCTTCGGTCTGTATAGTATATAAAATCATATATTGCAATGTCCTACCTGTCGATGAATACTTCAGCTTCAACTATAACAATACAAGAGCACACAATAGATACAAACTCAAGGTAAACCACACCAAACTTGATTGCAGGAAATACGACTTCAGCAACAGAGTGGTCAATGTCTGGAATACTCTACCTGACTCTGTGGTTTCTTCCCCAAACCCCAAAAACGTTAACTTTAGACTGTCTACTATTGACCTCACCCCTTTCCTAAGAGGTCTGTAGGGGGCGTGCATAAGCGCACCATCCCTGTCCTATTGTTTCTTTTATTTTTCTTATATGTACCCATTTCATGTATTCATAGTTATGTATATACTTATACCTACAAGGTATACCTATACCTTGTAAGCGATTGACAAATCAAATAAATAAATAAAATAAATAAATAATTGTTTAATTATTACAAATAACAAATATAAACAAATAACAGGTTCAGAGTGAGTACCCATGTTTTCCACATTGAGATAGAGGAAAACACAAAGCAAAGGAAATTTTGTGGAAGGTAAACAAAGAAAAAGTGAAAATAAAACTGAGTGTCTTACATTTGGCTCTTTCATTATTATTTTCTTTAAGTCCTGGTAAGCAGTGCTAAGCTCATGACATTTAATCTCTCAATTATCCTAACAACTTAATATTTGGAGATTGGGACTGGAACCATGGCTTTTCTTATTTCCAAGCAGCTCTGCAGTGAACAGTTTGCTAATAAATCTTAAAAGGATAGAAGGAAGTTGGAGTTCAGGGAAAGCTACAGAGAAATAATTAATTTTGCTTGCATGATTGAAATTTAAACAGAGGTTAGTAATAGTCGCATCATTGTTCAAATCAATTTCTATCAGAAAGTGTGCACAACATTTTGCTGTAAACCCAAGAAGAAAACACAAAACAAGACTGTTTATGAAAGAATTATTAAACTGTATTCCTATATTATTATTATTTTTAAAGTAAGATCTACTTCCAAATAAATATGTATTTGCTCCATAAATAGCCTCATTTAAAAAGGTAGCTATGTTTATTTCAGCAGAATCAAGTGAGAGCAATAGGGCATCTTGAAAACTTAACAAATACATTATATTATAAGCCTTGATGGTTTACAACAGGGATTGAAGAAGCTAATTTGGATTCTACAGTAAATTTCTAAGTAGTTTTCAATAGCTTGGCAATATTTCTAACCTATTTTACACAGCAAGCAACAATGATCATTGAAGAAATTAAGAAAGATTGGATTGGGGAAATGTATCAACCACCACTGGGATCAATTCATAAGCTCTGAATTATCTATTTCTAAGATGCTTTCTTTTTTGTCAAGTTCCAGTAAGCAATACTTTTTGCGTAACAACCTTGCTACATGAAGATATCTGTAAACTGAAGACTATGCATGGGTAGACTCCAAAGTTAAAGCAAGAGGATAGTTTTCTTGCTGTTATTTAGAGCAAAATAGTTTACAACAAAAATATATTTTGTTCCTACTATTGTTAAATAGAAATTCTTTCTAATCTACTGCAAATCTCCCAGAGGCCCAACAGTAAATCCATTTGTTTGGATTTCTGGACCTCCCTGCTATGGATCTTGCCATACAATCACCCATTCAGGCTTTTAATTATTAGGCATGTAAATTTCTTTTAAATAATAATAAAAGAAAGATAAAACAATAGAGCTAATCTCAGATTCTTCTTCTCCTTATACACCTGATCTTCTCTCTTCCTTCTGGGACCATCATTTCTCTAAACTAATTAAACACTGACATTTCTGAAGCACAAAGGTATTTTATTACAAAACTTTATATAATCCAACTGGCCTAATTTTTCATTTTAGCATCTTAAAAAAAAAAAACCAGAACTTTAAGTATATAACAGCTCTTTGCATTGCAGAGCTTCTTCTGTAGAAGCTATAAATGTGCAGGCAATTAGTGGAGGGAAAAAGGAGAATCAGAAAATAAACTCTTTTTTTTTCAAAGAGGCTTCCTACTTTATTACATTTGAATCGATTCTCCAGTACAAGATGTATGCATATAGGATCGGTTTTGAATGCCACACATGTTCACAAATCCCATGGCTTTGCTGGAAAATATAACTGAATGAGTGAATCAATATTTCCATGGTTGTACTTCCATATATCTTGCAAGGAACTGCTATGATTCCATCAAGAATCTCTAGTTTAATTGAGAACTTTAAAATCTGAGGCCAGTATGTACCAGGGAGCTAGCTGTTCCTTTGGAAATTCTTGTGTAGGTGATGTGTCACCAATATCACACTGGACATAACAAAAGAAGCCAGCTGATCTTTTAATAATTAAAATGGATATACATATAACAGACCAACATATTGATCTGAATAATTTTCCTACATTAGATTTACAAAAAGACATTTTAAAGTTTTGAAGAATTTTGTGAGAAGGAAAAAATGAAAAGAAATCAAGTCCAACAACATTGTTTGAATGGACTAAAGATCAAGATTGTTAGAGGTAAACAGAAGGAATATAAAGATGGTTTATTTAATTAAAGTTAATTAAGATATGTTATTACCTCAGGTATCCCTTACTGGACTTTTGCTAACATCAGGACTGAAGTGATGAGCCTTTAAGGATTTTTTTATATAAGATATGAGAAGAGATAATTTGTTGTATTTTAGAGATGATGTTACTAAAATTGTTTGTACTTATAATGAATGGCGAGGACACTTCTTTATATATTTCCTTTTTCTTCGCTATGTTTTTGATTTTCCCTTTCCCTTTTAATTTTTATTTTTTAGTTTGCATTCGTTTTTACTGTTATACTTATAAACTTTAATAAAATTACTATTAAAAAGAATCCAACGTTATTTAACCATTTTCTATCCAAATTATACAACATCTCATTGTTCGGTATTAACGCTGCATACTGTACCTGGCTATCGTGGCAAAGCAATCATTTTTAGCACAAAGGACATATTTCCAATTCTAGAGATCAACAGTTCAGGACCTTCTACTTGCTCCTCAGAAGGCTTTTGTAGGCATCATGAGCTACAGTGATTAAGGAGTCCTCTGTGCATTCTAATCCACCTATTTATGCTCCCCAATTACAAACACAGCTTGACCCAGCAGGCACCTGCATGCTATTTATTTGAAAGTTTCCCTTCTTCCCCTTTCTTCTTTAGTTAAGACATCAGAAATGAGATTTCTCATTTAATCCTCTGGAATAAGCAGTAACCGAAAGTGGTGGCAGTTCCTCAGTCTGTCACATTTTAAAATAGAATTCAG